CTGCTGCTGCTGCTTCTAGTGTTGTTATTGTTGTTGTTGTTGTTGTTGTTGTTGTTTTTGTTGTTGTTGTTTGTGGTGGTGCTAGTGTTGTTGGTGGCGTTGTTTTTATTGTTGTTGTTGGTGTTGATGTATTATAGTTGTTCTGTTACTGTTGTCGTTATGTTATTGTTGTTTTTTGGTGGTGTTGCCCCTCTATTCATCCCAGGCACCCGCTCCCTTTTCTCCAACTGCACATCGTTTCCCTCAGGTGTTGGAGAAAGATGGTGCCGACTTGTACCACATCGCCCGCCAGGCAGACTGTAAGGCTATCGTGTTTCCAGACATTCCCGGAAACTCAGCACACAGACTCCTAGCTCCTCAGTGTCGGGGCCCACACACTGCACACTCACAGCCACATGACCTAGCACTCCCACAATGCCCTAGTCTACAGAAAGCTATCCTGATTGGAAGAGGTACGTCGGGCAAACAGTCAGAGGTCGGAAATGACGTCAGGGAAGGCTCTTTTCTAGAGAGTCTTCTGCTGCAGAACGAGGAGGAAGCGGTATTCGTGGAGCATGGCGACTGTGAGGACTGCGTGTATATTTTCACCACTTCTGGCACCACGGGCTACAGTAAGCTAGTTCCTCGAACACACGCAGAGGTCTTGAGGGCGAGCCGCGCCTATGAGCCGACCAAGGATCTCCTGTCCTACATCGACAGACCTCTAGGGTGGGCTGGTGGTTTCCCTTATGACTTCTTCGGATTCTGCACACCGCGGGTGGTACAGGTAGGCTATTATTGGACCATACGTTTGTGCTCTAAGGTATCGAATAAAAGGGGGGGGGGTAGAGTTAGAAGTAAAAAGGAGGGGGGGAGTGGACAAGTGGTCCAAAATTAATATACGTGGGGCCGGGGGCGGAATATAAAAAGGAGGAGGGCAGGGGTGGCACATTCAACCTCATACCCCTTTACGAGAAGGAGCAAATCTGTTTCACTTCTCCTTCAGTGAATAAAAGAACAAGAGACTATGAAATTTTAGTGATTTTAGTAAGTTACTGTGACAGCTTTTCCCATTTAGGAACAAACCAGTTTCATTAAAAAATACAAACCAATGTACAAAAGTTTTTAAAATGCACAAAAAAATCGAGGTTGCCAACCCGGTACCTGTACTACGAGTAACACTGAGGGTAATTTGACATTAAACAAAAAAAAGAAAAGAAAAAAAGAAAAAAAAAAGAAGTTTCATTCAGATATCTAGATTCTAGATATAATGTTTCACTTGATCATCGGTCGTAGTAGCAAGCTTGAAAATAATGAACGG